TGATGCATTTACCTGACTCAGCTTTGCCATTCAAGGGGGAAAAAACTTAACCTAGTCTCATTGTTGGTATTTTGGTCTTCCCATGCATAGACCATGTCCTTAACTGTCATAGCGCCTGATACTCAATACATAAAGTAAACATTTTTGCCTTTTGGGAGGAAGCACAGTGATGACGGTCTTGATCAACCAGGATTGGAGAGATTGGGTTTCTGTCACAACCCACCCTCCTTGCGTTCGAGCCTGTACGTTTAGAAATCCCTGGCTCCTTTGGCTGACAGTGGGGATCGTGGTGGTGCCAACCTCAGCAAGTGTTAAAGAAAATAGTACAGTGCCTGGCATACAGTAGGAACTCACTAACTGTCTGAAAAGTAATGTTAATAAAAATATAGACGACTTTAATATTCAGATTTGCCCTTTTTTTATTCATTCAGCTCAATATAGAGAGTGATACAAATTGGAAACCAGGCATATACATGTTTTTTAAATCAAATTACAACTAGAGTCATTTTAAGTGTAAGGGGAAGCTAAGTAGACATTTTGTCAGGACTCTGTTACATCATATTAGTACCCAAACAATAGAGCGTGGACGGCTGGCAGCCCTGTGCTCACAGTACCCATTTCATCTTCTTCAACAAGTGTTGCCATTTGTTCAGGCATTTTCCATATTTATATTTTAGCACATGTGTCCTGCCCAGTCATGGGGCCTTTTCCCCCTGTAAAATTCTATTTTCCAACTCTCGGATTAGGCCATGTTATACTCTACGTCGTCTGTCACTTTGATCTGGCTGGAGAAATGCCTGAAGTTTTTCCCACTGCAGCCATTTCACAAGGTTGAAATGAACGATGCATCCAGGCCTGTGGTTCTTGCTCATGCGTTTGAAAGGTTGTTTAGAACTGGTCCCTAGATCGTGGCCTGGTACACAGCCGTCTACCAGGGCCGTTGTAATTGAGCTTCATGCAGCTAGTTTGTGTTGGTAGGAGGGAGACTTCCAAATCTCACAGCACGCTGCCTGGTGGAGGGACACCCACTTACCCAAAGTTGACCCAGCTTCCTTCCCGAGCAAAGAGAGTCCTGTTTGGAATAGACTCACACAGCCTTAAGCTATATAGTTTTCTTGAAGATCCAAAGCATTCTAATCTCAGACATATTTGGAAAACACTGAGTTAATGATATTTGGGCTGTAAATACCATTCCTCACTTAAAGAGACCAGGGTGCACTCAATAAATGACCAGTTTTAGGACTAGAGCAGGGAAAATACGAGATGAGCACAGAACCCTGCCAGCTAATGAGAAGGCCTTAAAACTGGACAAGGTAGGAATGGGGCACGTGATCAAGGAATCTATTTGAAGAGTCTCCTGTTGGGCAAATCTGAGACAGTTTGGGCATCAACAGTACTGGTAGTGATGGATTACAACCCACTGAGTAAAATCAAAACAAAAAATAAGGGATTCTTTATTGATACCAATGAATGAGTGAGTGAATAAACTGTGGAGAAGGGAAGGCTACTTCTTACACTAGACCATTAATGACAATAGTCGTATGGCAGCTAGAAAATCATCAACGGATACTAAAACTAATGGATGAGGGTGAGATGAGGCAAAGGATATTTATGTAATCTCAAAATATCTCCCTACAAAGTACTTTTTAATTACAAAAGGAAAATTAATAGCTTTATAGTAGAGAAGCCTAGCAGACATCACCCTTAAGCATGTGATCAAGTTAAATACCCATTTTCTGTGCTTCCTGATATGTTGCACTGTGAAGATACAATATTACCACCGTGGTAACCTGCCTAAAATCCACCCCGTAATCTAGTCATAAAAAACCACGAGGCAGGCCCCAATTCTGCATAATAACTGGCCTGCACACCTCGTACTACCAAAGTGAGGAGAGGCTCAGGGACTGCTCCAGATGAAAGCTGGGGGTGAGAAGGGTCAGTATAGAGACATGACCACTAAATGCAAAATTTGATCATAGATTGGATTCCTGGACTGAGAACCAAAACAGTGAACTACCGTGGGCTTGCTTGGGCACCTGCCGGAATTTGCAGAGGCATGTAAATGAGAGAGTAGTGTTGTATCAGAAGTGAAATTTGCTAATTTCAATAATTATAGTGTAGTTACGTTTAAGAGAACATCCTTATTCTTCAACATTATACACTTAAGTATTTATAGGTAGAGGGGTATATTTTCTCCCACTTACTGTGAAATTACTCAGAAAAAACTCTTGCATGGAGGGAGATAGAGGGGACGCAGGGGGCTAAAATGTCACCGGCTGGTAGTAGTGGGTGAAAGATGTATGTGCAGCAGTTAGTCGACCTCTTGGTTGCTGAGTTTTCCACATCCTCCTGGCTTATGTGTGCCGCGTTTCTTTAGGAGGGTGATGGGTATACAGTAGGCGTCACTTACATTCACACTGTTAGGAAGAACTCACTGGGGGGTGCCCCGAGTGTGGCTGTTGAGAACAGGTGCAGAACGTTGATGGGCTACTCAAGGTGTTCAGTAGCCACCCCAACACCTGCCACCGGTGGTTTTGGAAAATAGCTTTCTAGCCTCTGCTGAAATATCGCTCATCAAGAATAACACTAAAATAACTTGAAGTCCATTTCTCTCAGCAAAACCCCATCTACTTATTTCCTCTCATATTTAAGGTAGCTTCAAATGTTAACCTAATTCAGGAGACTACAGCTTGAGAGAAATAGCCAGGAAGATTGGTATTTCAGACTGTGCTGCACTTCTTTTTATGAGAGATTGTATTATCCTGATGGGCGGAGCCATGACTCAGACATTTTCTGAAAGTGAATTTCTCACCCAATTGTAAATGAAATGCCCTTGAAGAAGACTTAAAGTATTTTGTATCACATGCTATTCGGGCAATGCATTAAACAACGCCCCTCTTGCTCATGCGCTGAAGAGTAGGAAAACCTTCTGTGAACTTAATTTGAGGGCCTGAGTTTTAAAAGGAAAGTGCAGTGTAATTTTCTGAATATACTTGTGTGGAGTAGCTTCCTTGGGATAGTAGCAATGTACGCAAAGCAGTTTACCCCCCATTAAACTGTTTTAATCTGCACGTCATTGAAAGGATTTTTCTCTGTGTAAATTCATGATGTCTGACGCTGTCCAAATGTAAAGGCAACACATTTGTGAGAAGCTGCCGGATCAGTGGGAGTTCACACTCTGAGAAAAATAATTCACCTTAAGAAAGAAAATCCGCGAAAAGAACCTGCCCATCCTTCTCGCATCCCCTTGGGCACCTGAGTTGCCCTAGACAGTGTTCTGATTTGGGTTACCAGATTTCACCCCTCAGAGAAGAAATGTCACCTTGTTCTCAACATCTTGGTTAATTCAGTCGACAGGACTGTTTACCTTTGACCTGTACTTCTGCTAGTCTCTGTTCCTTCGCTTTTCCTGCTGTGAATTTGTCATTCGGCCTCGAATCTCCAGGCTCCATCTGGGGTGTGGTTGTTCAGTCTGTTACATAAAATAGTATCATGGCATTTGGAAAAGTGGGAGAAAAGAGGTCATAGAAGAGATCTAATGATACAGGAGATTTGATTTATTGTAAGGAGCAGGGTTATTCTAGATTAAGTGAAATCACATTAGTGTTAGAAATTTTAAGATGTCTACCAAATATTACCTTTATAATATGATGATGGTGGTGATGTGGTGGTGGTGGTGGTGGTGGTGGTGACAGAGGTGACGGTGTGGTGTTAGTAATTTGTTGAGCACTGATGAAGTCTATGCATGGTGCTACATATGCTGACTTGTTTGGTCCCCATACCTCTCCTACCAAGGGTAAATACTTGATTCTGTACATGAGGAAGCTGATGCTCAGAAATTAGTTTGCTGCCCTGCTGGGTGTGGCTCAGCGGTTGAGCGTTGACCTAGGATCCAGGAGATCGAGGTTCGATTCCCGGTCAATTCCCAGTTGGTGCAGGAGGCAGCCAATCAATGATTCATCATTGATGTTTCTATTTCTCTCTCTCTCCCTCTCCCTTCCTCTCTCTGAAATCAGTAAAGATATATATATATGAAACTTAAAAAAGAAAAAGAAATTAGCTTGCTTACCTGAGGTCTCATAGGCAAGTAAATGAAGAAACTGGAATGGGAACCCAGATCTATTTTTATCATAAATGTGGTCTCAGGAGAATACTCTGTGGCCTCTTTTTGTTCTCTGAATTGCGTGGATTATCAGTGTTCAGGCATTAAAATTGTATAATGATTTTAAGTTGATTTACCTATATTCTTTTTGAGTAAGAAATCCTAGCCAAATATAGGAGAAGTTATCTAAGATTGGGATGAGAGCACCTGGATTTTACATTCTTCTTCTTCTGATGTTTAATCTTAGCCAAGATAACATCAACTTTCTGAAGCACTAGTTCCTCATTTCTGAGTGTGTAATGTTTGCCGTCCCTTCACAGGCTTTGTTAGATGGATTGAGTGAAATAACTTACGTGATGGCTTTTCCCACACTGAAGTGTAAGGCGTCGTTATCATCTCCATTATAGTCCTTTGTGGAGTCCCTGATATTCCATTTAGGCTATTTCCCAAGGCTACGGAGAAACCCCTTCAGATTCTCATCATTAGAATGGGTGGTGTTTAGAAAGATGTGCCCATGTGAACAGAACATTTACAATTTTAACATGTGGACTGAACCTCGCAGCTCAATGTTCTATTTCAGGGTGTATAACTCCATAAAACAATGTGCTTCCTAATGGGGAGCTCCCACCACACCATGAGCACTGGAGCGCAGGAAGTGCTGGTGGGTTTCTGTTGGTGCCATGAGGCGCTGTGATGTGAGGAGACGTGAGTTTTAATGGTACCCGCTGAAGTACGTGGACGTAGAATGATGTGATGTCTGGGCTTTGCTCTCAACTAATTTAGCAAAGAAAAATATGGGTAGATGGTTAATCTTAGTAAGTGGTTCATTGTACTGTTCTCTCTCCTTTTGTGTAGGTGTGAAAATGTTGCCAATACATTTTTAATTGTTCTGTTACAGATGCAGATTTTCTTTTACAATCCGGATGACTTTGACAGCTTCCAAACTGCAATATCTGAGAACAGAATCATCGGAGCCATGGCCATATTTTTCCAAGTAAGTTAACAGTGGCCCAAGTACTTCAACCAGAGAGTTCTTTGGGTATATTTTTTTAATTCACTGAATTGTTCTATGTATAATGAACGCATCTGTTTTCTAGTTCACACCTGTCTAAATGAAAGATATTTCATATTGTCTAATGTGTGATTTAAAATGTAAATAAGTATGTTTAGAAACATAATGAAAATTTTTGCATGAATTATTCTGATTTTATTGCTACTTGACTGGTACACAGATTGAAGAACACATTTATCATCTAAGTTACTTCACCGCTGAAGCATTTTGAACAGGTTCCTTCAGCATATTAAGAGGCTGGTGTAAAAAAAAGGTGGTGTGTTTTTTTTTTGGAACAACTTTAAAATTTGACATTACTTGCAAGTAGATTAATGAATAGTATCAGTCACTTCTCTAAAGAGACCCCTTTTTATTCCCTTCCAGAAATTCCCAATTAAACTATTTATTGAGACCATTTCTAAGTTAGTCCGTTTATGATTTGCCACCCTTTCTCTTTTAATGTGGGCTATGTCTGCATTAATGGCTCGTGTATTGATTCTGTACCTAGAATTCAAACTTTTCATCCTTCCATAGATAATGCTGTCCAAACTTTTTAATAAGTCAAATCAAATTAAAGTAATATTGATCATCTAGTGCTTTGACCAAGTAGCCTAGAGAGACCTGGTGCTTTTTTGTGGGGAAGGTAACCTGAGTGGTAGGTATGTGACTGGTCTTTCAGTCTTAAAATTTACCCAAAGACTACATAAAGGTGTTCCTTTTACCAGTGACTAACTGTTAGAAAAAGCTACATTTCTGATAACTCAAAGGAATATTAAAGACATCAGAACCTTTCCAACATGGTTCTTAAACCTCTGCCCTTTGGGGCAGACTCCTTTGTCATTGAGAGGGAGCTAGTCTTTTTATTATTATTATGTCTTTATTGATTTCAGAGAGTGGAAGGGAGAGGGAGATAGAAACATCAGTGATGAGAGAGTCATTGATCGGCTGCCTCCTGCACGCCCCCCACCGGGGATCGAGCCCCCAACCCAGGCATGTGCCCTGATGGGGAATCGAACGGCAATCTCCTGGATCCTAGGTCGATGCTCAACCTCTGAGCCATGCTGGCCGGGCTTGAGATGGAGCTACAGTATTCTTGTTTGTAGTATGTTGATTTCATTACTCTTTTTAGTGATAAAAATAATATGGTGGACGATTTTCTCCACTGTTTATCACTCCCTCTTAACTACCCTCTCTCCCTTGCCTTTTCTTGGACAAAGGCACATAAATGGGAGATTATATCTGAAAAATTGAAAAGCTGAACAAAGCCTGGCCGGGCGTTGCTCAGCGGTTGAGCGTCGACCTAGGATCCAGGCAATCGGGGTTCGATTCCTGGTCAGGGCACATGCTCGGGTTGCGGGCTAGGCAACTGATCAATGACTCCCTCATCATTGATGTTTCTATCTCTCTCTCTCTCCCCCCATCCCTTCCTCTCTCTGAAATCAATAGATATATTTTTTTAAAAAAAGAAAGACAGAAAAACTGAATAAATATTCTACTCAGACATCAAAAACAAAAAGAGTGGTGGTCATGAGCATTGGTTATGGTACTTGTTTTCTAACTATGGGTACTGGCCTACTGGTGGGCTGTGGTGTAATTTACAGGAGTCCTGACCAGCATTTTAAAAATAATGAAATAGAATAGAAAAAAATCAGAAAATATTAGTATATCACACATAGTAAGGTTAAATATGTTTGTAGAACTTTTCTTCAATTGTTTATATACAGAGACGTAGTGACTATGTACTGGGCCATGTTATAAAATGTATTTGTTATTGTGAGGTACAGACAAATATTTTCAAATTCATCTGTTTGTGTTATATAGCGGGCTGGTCTCTCCACTGTGCCCATAGTCCTCCCACACGTGTTTATTTCCTAATGACTTTCATGAACCGTAGTAGAGTGTTTTAAGAGTTAATTCACTGGAGGAAAAACTCTTTGCTTTGAACCCCGCCTCTTCTACTTAACGTCTGCATAATGGTGATGTAATCATTTAAACTTTCCAGCCTCAATATCCTTATCTGAGAAGTGGGGATAGCAACTTCTGGGCTATCAAGATTGCAGAAGTCATTACATGAAGTGGCTAGTATCGATCCTGGCACATAGTTGACACTGGGAAATGACAGATAAAATGTAAGCACGTCGTTCCGTCTCTCACTGGGATAGAGACCCCGGTGTGGGTGTCTTCTTTGCATGAACAGAAGACTGTTCTGGACACTGTCCTGTTGGCAGCTCACTTGGGTTCTGTCTGGACCCTTTCTGCTTCTAAACCATGATTGATTTGCCTTTGACAATACTGGGGTCACTTGAAACATTCTTAAACAGGTCCCACTTACGTGGTTAATTCCTTGTTTTCTGCTGCTGTCCTCTTGGCATGCTGCTTTTCAGGTAGCTGGACCTCTACTCCCGTAACCCTGCCGTCAAAGCTAATCCCCCCCTCTGTCGTACCCACCATGAACTGCTCGGCCAGGCCCAACTTTATGGGTCACCTCTCTTATGGGAAGATCCATTTGAAAAATGTTTTTAGGAGTACTGAAAGGGCTGGTTCACAGCATGCTTTACCCAAAAGCTTTTTCTTTTTCTAGCCCTGTTAACTCTTGTTAAATATAAGACCAGTTAGTCTTAGGCAGGGAACGTTGGTGTACAAACTGCAAAACACCTCAGTGTGAAATCTAGATTTTGAAATTTAAAGGTTTTCTAGGGCTGGACTAGTAGCTCACACACAAAGAAACTGAAGGTGCATTTTATCTAGTAAGTTAGTCTCTAAATTTTGGGTTGCTGTCTTCCAGACACAAAGTAGAGGGCAGATACTATGAAATGGGACAGAATTCTTTTTAGATAGTAGATAGGGCTGCTTCTTTGTTTTCCTTATAAGTGCACACATGCATTAATGCATCTCAGTTCATACTGTGACATGCAATGGAAAGGAAAACTTTATTTTTGTTATTTTAATTCCGCAGTCTAGTTAGACTCCATATTGTGAGATCTTTGTGTTTTGAGTCTTCCTGTAAGAATGTTAAATTTGGGAGTTCGGTATTTCTCCCCCAAGTAGTTAGGCAAATCTTGGTATATATTTCCCAGCTCAAACCTGGCATCCTACATGTTGGTATTGAAGAAGCATTTACCATCCCTTCAGCACTGATTCAGAGCCAAGAATAGTACCGGTTACTCCATTAGATACAATAAATGTCATAGCTCTGCCCACTAGGACCCCACAGCCCACGTGATCATGGCTAGACAGAGGGGCGTGGAGAAACGCCCCCACTGGTGAAGAGGCTGTGCTCCAACTTGGTGCCCACAAGCCCACATGTTCATTATCCAGAGGGGCGTGATGCAAGTGACCCCAAGCCCACGTCTAGACGAGGCCAAGGCCGGCGTAGGTGTTGCCCCCTTGATGCCTGACTGACAGTTGAATAATTTTTTACATTCAGTTTTTCATCATCTTTGTTTCTTTTTTCTTCCTCTTCATGTGCCTATTATTCCCAGGTAATTTTAGCTCTCTCATTGCCTTTGCTGTGACTTAGATATGAGGATGTTCATGTTGCCAGAACACAGAAACAGACCTAAGAGGCACAGCATGGTTGACCAAAGAACCATATTTTGACCTTGACTAGAGGTTGCTTGTAAGTGATCCTATTGTGTGGCTCACAGGACTAATTGTTGAATGTACATAGTGTTTACAATTCTTCTCTTCAGTTAAATATGGCAGATTTTCTGTAAACTGTCCAGATGATGTAGCAGCAGTCAAAACCTGAGTAGTGGCTATAGTCCACTTTGAAGGGGGTTTGCTTTCCCATTGCAGCACAGTCTTCATGCCTTCATGTGAACATGATCTGAAGATCAGGATCCTGACCTGGACCCCAGTAACTTTGAGTGGTAACTGATATCTTTCAGTTCCAGACAGAGTTGAAGGTCAGTGTCAGTGCGGGAAGAAGGTGAGCCAGGTCTCCCCTGAGTGCTTAGTGTGAACTCCAGGGA